TCTCATATTTTAAAAGATGTTATTACTTTGAACTTGATTTTTTAAAATAAACTTATCAAATTATACTACACATTAAGAAAAGTGCACAAGCTTAATGAATTGATGAATTATGACTAAGTGGATATACCCAGGTAGCCATTATGCATGTCAAGAAATAAAACAAGACCAGCAACCCACAAAACCCCTCTCATGCTTGCTTCCAGTCACACCATTTCCTCCCATCCCCAGCATAAACATTAAATTGACTTTTTACACCATAGATTAGGTTCCTAAAATATTAACCATGGTTTATATAGGTGGAGTCATAGAGTACGTATTTTGTGTGTGTCTGGCTTTAATTCTGTATTGTTTCTGTGAGATGCATCTTTGTTGTCGCAGCGATAGTTTGTGGATTTACATTGCTGTGTCATGATACTACATTTTATTAATACGTCACAATTTATGTACTCTATGTTTTTTTTTTTTCTTTGTTTGTTTTTTTGCGGTATGTGGGCCTCTCACTGTTGCGGCCTCTCCCGCTGCGGAGCACAGGCTCCAGACACGCAGGCTCAGCAGCCATGGCCGACGGGCCCAGCGGCTCCGCGGCATGTGGGACCCTCCCGGACCAGGGCACGAACCCTTGTCCCCCGCATCGGCAGGCAGACTCCCAACCACTGCACCACCAGGGAAGCTCCTCTACCTATGTTTAAATAACTTCATCAGTGCTCTTTTCTGTTTATTACTTGATAAATTTTCGCATTCCCTTTGTTTTGGGTTTATCTTTTTGTGCCTGTTTTAAAATTTGTTTTATCGATTTTGATTTGTTATCTTTTTACATAACCATCCATTTTAATTCCAAATGTGTCAGTAAATAATAGAGAATAGTCTACCATAAAAGCTTTCAATCTTTTGTATTAATTATATTTTTTATTTTATTAATTCACATTTTCTTTCCTTTTACAAATGAATGAGGATATTGATTTGTGTTGTATTTTTTTCAATGAATTAGCTTTTTTTCTGCTATGTTTTCCATTTTGTTTATCTCTTCTTTTGAGATTATTATTGTCATTTATTTTTTAGCTTGAAATTTTGTTCCATTTCTAAAATCTCAGTTCATTGTTCTCTTGCTTTTCTTTTTCTTAATTACTAAAGTGTTTACAGTGGTAAGTTTTTCTTTTGTAGACCCCCATATATTTTGATAAAATTGATATGTCTCTTTAATATATTTTTCTTGACCTATTCATAATTTAGGAAAGATGTTATGTAAATATTTCTTTAAGTTAAAATGTAATTTATTATCTATCACATTATGCATAATTACATAAAATACGTAAATTTTTTATATGTACCTTATTTTCAAGTGAGCAGACATCTTTTAATTTATTCTGAGACTTGGGTATATGTAATTTCTACCTTTTTGGATTTAATGATGAAAATAATGACTCCTAATTTCACGTGGTAATAGTTTGCTGTCTTACCTTTTAGTTATCTCTAACGAAATTGAAGTCACACTGTATATATCGCTTAAAATTTTTTTCCTTAATATAGTGTGAACATTTCCCTATGTAATTAAGCAGTTTAAAAAAATAATGGCTATATTGTATTATAAATATCTTTCATAGGCTATTTAATGAGAGCATTGTTTATTGGCTCTTTAAATTGTTATAATACCTTTATTTGTATTTTTCAATTTAATTTTTATGTATTTTTTTAAAATGCGTACACATGACATGAAATTCAAAGGGAACAAAATGGTTTACAAAGTCTGTCTCTGTTTGTCTGTCTGTCTCTTTCCCAATCTTCTTTCCCTGTGAAGCAAACAGTGTCGTTGGTTTGTTGTGTTTCTTTTCAGGGCTGTTTTTCCCATAAATAAGCAAGTACACACTTTTCCTTTCGCAAAGACCATCTGCATCTTACTTTTTTTCCACTCAGTATACTATGGAGATGTTTCATATCAGTCTATTAAAAAATCCTTATTAATTTTATAGCAGCAGAGTGTTCTGGTATGTAGATGTGTCATAATTTATTTAAGCAGACTAATATTTCTAGAATTTGAGTTGCGTTACAATACTTTTAAGTGAAACTGCTTATTGAGATTTTTTTAAAAAAAAAATCCTTGTTTTTAAAGTATAGATCTTGTTATAAAGTATAGATCTTTAGATTGTATTCCTTCTCTTGTTCCCCTTCTTGGAGACATGGTTTTGCCTTTCTTAGTGAGGAATGGGTCGGGTTGATGACCACCACTAAGTCTTCTAGAAGTTACCAGCCCCTTTAAAGAAATGATGCGTTCACTTCTTTGGGGGCTAGGGAAGCAGGGAGGGCAGTAGGTATGGGAGTTAGTATTTTAAAAAATCCCGAAACTGATGGTCCTGATAGTACAGATTTGTTTAAAATATGAAATACAATAACATAAAAAATTCATAAGACATAAAACTAGTCTTATAGGATTATAAAATGAACATCTGTGTGATCCCATCCAGGTCAAGAAATAGAACATTGTGCACACCTGTGTGCCTCTTTCATTCACCACTCCCTTCCATGCCCCTAATGGTAGCCAGTCTCCTGACCATTATGGTCTTCATGTTGATTCTCTTTCTAGCTGTGTAACCTAATTATGTATTCCTAAACCATCCAGTAAAATTGTGCCTGTGCTTATTTTGGGGATTTTTCCCCCTAATGTTGTTAGATATCTGACGTTCTGTACTCTTAGGAGCAGTCTTGAAGAAGTGAAGGGGCAAGGAATCCTATACATCTTGTCTTAATGAAGTTAGACACTTCAGTCTGACAATTATTAGGTGAACTTGAGATCTTTTTCATACCAGGTGATGCAGCTATATCTTCACTGTTACCAGGATTCTGGAACTAGCTCTGTGTTGGTTCTTTGAAGTACTGCTTCTGAAGAACCTGTTTACTGTGACCAGGGGATGGTCCTGCCTGGAGGTCTGTTTAGGTGCCCATTCTCTTCCTACTCATGTTCCTCTGCTGGGCATTTTTAATTGTGTTCATGCTCAAGAGCCCCTGTGGATTACAAAAAGAAAAAAAAAAAACAGCCCAAAAAAACTACTTCTAAAGTAATTTTGTTTTCTTTTCTTTCCTAATCTGTAAAAGCTATGGAGTTGATAATCTTCAGCTTTATGCATAAATGCTTGCTCCTGTCTCCCATTTAGGCACTGTGAAAGCTTGAGCAAATCAAGGGTTTTCCTTTTTTGTGCAGAATACCTTGCATTTTCTGTAAACATAAGTAGAAAGTGGCATTGTGTTATATAGATCATGCCTACTTTTTAAAAACGTAGAATATTCTATATAAAAAGACCATAGAAAGCATTTCTAGTTCGATTTTGTAGTTGAGTTACTTTTGAACTTTTGTGTTGCTACTTATACCACAACCTAATACACATACAAGTATATGTAAAACTGAGACTAAAATTTCATAAACAGCACCCTTACTATGTAACTCTGATATTGTTTATTCTGTTCTAATTTCATTAAAAATAAATGTAGACTGGGAATTTATTAAATCATCTGCAGGGTCCTTCAGTTAAATCATTGCCTACAGTTGAAAGGTACCATAATTTTCTAGAGGAAGAGGTTGACTCTGAGGGATTAAACTGAGTTATGGTGTGGTTCAGAGCATGGACTTTGGAGAAGGGCAGGCTTGGGTTCAAATCCTGGCTCTGCCACTTGCCAGTTGTTTAACCAGGGCAAGCTAGAGGGCATTCTTGGGCCTCAGCCTTCTGTAAAATGGGAAACACTTCCTGCTTACTGGTTATAAGGATTACATAGGTAAGCATTAATACACAGCTGCTGTTATTAGCCATTATGCCTTGTTTCAGGACTTAAGGGAGTTTCTCTGACTTCTGGCCCAGTGCTCTTTGTACAGATTGCAGAATCTGCTATGACAGGAGTTATGGGACAGTGTTAAGTAACAGAGCAGGTAGATGGGAATTGCTCAGTCGATCTGCTTCACCCTTTGGGATCAGTTTAGGTGACTTCTCAGGTCTGTGCTCTCAAACTCCGCTAGTCTATTGTAGGAGTAGGAACTGCCTGAAAGCGTCAGGCAGTCACCATGCCTTCAGTGCAGAAGACTTGGTCTTCCTTGTCCCCGTTCATGGGAGGGAGGTTGAAGCTAAAGCCTGTGTGTGTGTGTGTGTGTGTGTGTGTGTGTGTGTGTGTGTGTGTGTAAAATCTACCGAGGAGGACAGAGGATGTTTAATCCTGAGTCTTCACTCTACCTCTTCCCATATTTCACATTTAAAATCTACCCTCCCCCACCTTGTAAAGAATAACCAGCTTTTATATTCTAGATAACAATTTATTCATAAAAGTAATTGAAGCAAATTTACACATTAAAATTTAAATAATAAGACTAAATTCTTATAAAATCCTACTATGAAGAGAAACTAACACTTTGTATTTTTTCTTCCAGTCTTTTTTCATGCATTAAAAAGGTTGCAGTAATACTGTATATTCAGGCACCTTTGTAATAAAATTAAAAACTGAACTGATTAGATAGCTTCTAGATCAGTAAACGATAGAGGAAAGGAGCCAGGGATGCTTTGTTGAATGGGAGAGACGGTAACCTCTTACTGCCTCTGAGACTGAAGGGTGGTCCTCGATTTAATTTTCCTTGTCAGGTGTTCTGCGGCAAGTAAGAATTTGAGTTTAAAACTCTTTCGTACTTTCTGTTCTTTCTCCCTTATTTGGCACACACTCCTGAGGTCAGGAGGACAGGTGGGTGTTATTCTGCTAAAATTAATATCCCATTAGATTGCTGGTAGAATTGCTATTTTTTGGTGGAATATGAAAACTGAGTTGTTTCTAATAGTTCTACTAAACATATATATGCTAGTCAGTGCTTTTCAACTGCTTCAGATTCCTTAGCCAGTGAGCCACCCGGGTCCTGAGAAGAACCCAGGTATGATGCAGGAAGTAACCTACCCTGCACTGCAGTACTTGAATGGGATGTGCTCTGGAAATGGTGACCTAGCATGAGGCCAATCTGTTTTCTTTTCTCCCCACAGATTTTGAAGCCAGCTTCATAAGGCTGTTGGACAAAATAACTAATGGTTCTCGAATTGAAATAAACCAAACAGGTAAGCTCCTTTTCTTCCCATTCCTGAAAGCACCTACATGTAATACTTAAATATTCCTCTGTTATTCACTCTTTTTGATGGTATAAATATTGTATTTGGATGGAAAGACCCAGTTTCGTATCTGTGATACAATTGTCTGGAGATGGTATGTGAAATCTGCCAATTTAAGGAGAATACACTTGATTTAAGTAAGTTAGAAGAGTGAAAATTTCAGATCAACAGACGAGCACCTCTTCTTTTTAAACAATAAAAACACTTTATACCTAACATTTATATACAACTTTTCAATGTCCATTTAACTTATGTTGTCACAATAAAATCTTCCAACAAACTGTCTGAGGTAGTTGTATGTGCTGAATTTTTTTTTTATTTTGTCTTTTAAAGTAAGTTTATACAAGTATATGCAAAAAATGTGAAAAATCCCTTCACCCTGTTTCCTCTTCCATTCTCTCTCCCAGGGGCAGCGGTGGTCACAGTGTGGGGACTGTGTCCTGGTCTCCTTTATGTGCATTTGCTTACGTGGGCACTTTTGTATGTCAAACCATCAACAGGGTCATGCTCTTCATGTTGTTCTGCAGCCAGTTTTTTTCATTAGCACAGATGTCTCAGGGAATTTTCTTGCCGGGCACATGCAGGTCCATCTCAGTATTTCAGTGGGCCTTATATTGTATTCTACTGTATGGAAGTATGATAACTTATTTAACTGTTCCCTACTGATAAACATTTAGGTTGTTTCTAGCTTTTTGTCTGAGTGGTTTTTTTGTTTGTTTGTTTTTGTGCTGTTGGAAACTCTTTTTTAAAAAAAAATAAAAAAAATAAATTAATTAATTAATTTATGACTGCATTGGGTCTTCGTTGCTGCACATGGGCTTTCCTTAGTTGTGGCGAGCAGGGGCTACTCTTCGTTGTGGTGTGCGGGCTTCTCATTGTGGTGGCTTCTCTTGTTGCGGAGCAGGGGCTCTAGGTGTGTGGGCTTCAGTTGTTGTGGCACACGGACTCAGTAGTTGTGGCTCATGGGCTTAGTTGTTCCACAGCATGTGGGATCTTCCTGGACCAGGGTTCAATCCCGTGTCCCCTGCATTGGCAGGCGGATTCTTAACCACTGCGCCACCAGGGAAGCCCCCTAGAAACCCTTTTATCTACATTGTTAGACGATCATGGCAAGCATCCTTTGGCTCCATTTACTATGTGCCTTTGCTCATATATTCAACAAAGGAAACTGAACTTTTCTGTGTGTTGGCTCTCTTAAGAAAGAAGACAAGCTTGGCTTCATAAGTGGCCATGGGACTTGTTGATCTGTAGCAGGTTTCAGGCATAAAACATCAGATGCCCTTTGCAAGCTATGATTCCCTTAGTCTTCCTTGACTTGTTTACTTTGAGATTGCTGGGGATTTTTTTCAGCTATTTTTATTGGTGATTCAGAGAGAAGGTAGTTCTATTCTTTTCTGGTCATATCTGCAACTTAGGTTGAGAAGTAAGACATTTACATGATCCTGCTTCTTTCCACCTCATGTGTCTGTCCCCACTCCCCCCACCCCAGGAAGCCTTCATTCTGATGATCTGGTCAGTTTATCATTTGGTTAATTTGCAGGCATAACAGATTTGCAGAGTTCAGTGGTTATAGAGTCTTTTCTGGGGGGAGGGAGAAGAGATTTTTGACCTAAAAGAAAGATTGTTTTGTGACTTTAATAGTATTTAGAATAACCGATGTAGAGTTTTTCCCACTTTGATCAGAATATGATTCTGATCGTGATGGTTGGGATTTTGGTTTTTAATATAGTAAAACCTATATTTATTTTATGAAACTCCTAAGAGCTGCTTTTCTTTTCTTTTTTTTAAAGAATGTAGGGATTTTTTTAAATGTGTTTTTAGTTCTTTTTATTTATTTTTAATTTATTTATTTTATTTATTTTTGACTGTGTTGAGTCTTTGCTGCTGCACGTGGGCTTTCTCTAGTTGCAGTGAGCGGGGGCTGCTCTTCGTTGTGGTGTGTGGGCTTCTCATTGCAGCGGCTTCTCTTGCTGTGGAGCACGGGCTCTAGACGCACGGGCTTCAGTAGTTGTGGCACACGGGCTCAGTAGTTGTGGCTCGTGGGCTCTAGAGTGCAGGCTCAGTAGATGTGGCACATGGGCTTAGTTGCTTCGCGGCATGTGGGACCAGGACCAGGACCAGGGCTTGAACCCGTGTCCCCTGCATTGGTAGGCAGATTCTTAACCACTGCGCCACCAGGGAAGCCCAGAGCTGCTTTTCTTTTGGTGACTAAACATAGTTCTTCCTCTAATGTTAAATTTCTTTATTGGTAAATTGTGCCAGAAGACATTGGCCAAAGATTATTAGCATCAAAAATACTGTGTTCACTTATTCATACTCCCTGAATCATCTATTTTATTTGGTTCTTCCTCTAATATGTAAACCTAGTAAGAAACTTTTTAGATGATGTGAATATTTGAAAGAATAAATAAAGATAACAAAGAGTTTCCACTAAAGCTGTTCAATAATTTTAGCCATTTCCATTTGTTACTATTAAATTAAAATAGCTACTATTAATGGAAGTAAGTGCCATAAAGTACTTGCCTTCTCTAGGTACCTTGTTTGGTGAGTGTGGTATATGGGGAATTTCATTTCCTGGGCCTAGAAGCAGCTGATTGCCGGCATGATGATTTCAGAACATCACTTGTAAACCCCACATCAGCACAGTCTGAGAGTGTGCTGTTGGGAGACTAGGGTGCCTGTTAGGATTATCTCCTCTGTGCCCTGCCACGGCTTTGGCAGTTCAGATGGCTCAGGGAGGGGTTTAATTTATTACTGTTTATTAAATTACACTCACAGTTTATTATTGTTACAGGGGCTTGACAGTAATGAGTCAGCTTTTGGAGTGAAGTATGTGGACTCTTAGGAATGGCATTTTGAACTCTCTTGGATGCCCTTGCCAGACTTTCCCCTTGGGACTTACTGCCTTCGTTGCCTTTGTGACACTAAGTTTTTTTTTCCTGCTGACTTTCTTTTCTCCGGTGTAAGGAACCACCTTATATTATCAGCCTGGCCTCTTGTATGGTGGGTCTGTGGAACATGACTGCAGCATCCTTCGCAGCATTGGGTATTATCTGGAAAGTCTTCTCTGCCTGGCTCCATTTATGAAGCACCCGCTGAGAATAGTTCTGCGAGGAGTGACCAATGACCAGGTGGACCCTTCGGTGAGTAATGAGGCCATACCAAGATGTGAGTTTTATTTGTCTCTTGTCACAACCCAACATTTGAGAAACCAGTTCCTGATAACACACAGGTGTATTGTAGAGAGTGTTTGTTTTGTTATTTACCTAGAAATTTAGAGGTTGATCACTCCAGGAGGGAGATGAGCCAAGACTCATAATCACCACATTCAGTCACGATGGTTAATGTTCGTCAAGGTGCCTTTCGTTGTCACGTCTAAGAACCTTCAGAACAGATGCTTGCCGTCTCATCGTGGTTGACATGAAATATGACTCTGTTGGCTGAAGTGCATGAGAGTGGAATTTTCAAAAGGTCGTATGATGGTTGAGGTTGGAAGGCAGCAGACCAACGTTTTAGGCCGAGAATAACATCTCCTTGGCATTGCTGCAGCATGATCTGGACTCAGGCTTCAGCCATACACTTTAGGACTTCCTTCTCCTGAGAAGAGTCTGCAGGTGTAGAAAAAGGGCACAAGGGCAGGGAAGGTATATATGAGCGTTGCTAGTTTTGGGGCACCAGCACACTTCTTATTAAGCGTGCTAATTTTCCTGCCTGTGTAGGGAGGATAGCTTAATATACAGATAGAGTAGTCATTGTGGCTACCACAGCTGCCTTAATGCCAGTCTGGGATGGGTTTGTTTTGTATGTGTGTGGGAGGGTGAAGCAGAAGGTGAGGGAGATTGACTGATTAGAGCAGGCCTGCCCTAGGCCTCTCGTAGTGGGGCAACGATCCCTCCCTTCGGCTGCTCTGCTGTTCAGAGAAGCTGTCTTCAAGCTGAGGGCCGTGATGTGAAGTTCCCACTGAGGACGCTTATCTTCACCTCTGCACACATTGGACCAAAACCACTGAAGGGGTGGCTTCTGAGGCAGAATGAAAAGTGTATGGCTTCACTAACCAGGGAAGTCCAATTAGGTGGTGCAGTTAGCCCCAAAGTGGGGACTGCTGGTTTTTACCAGGGCACTAACTAGGGTATAAACACAGTTAATATGTTCTTAGGCATTAAGAGAATTATTCCCCAATTCTTGAATTCAGGTGCATAAACTCTTCTCAGGATCCTGAGTACAGTGCAAGATCTGAAATTCTTAGCTGTGTAGGAATGTTGCATTAACTGTTTAGAATTTTAAAGTAATTACAAATGATTGCTTTTTTCCAGAAGATTCTAGGAAATGGGTCCTTCAGTTAAAAGTATGAGAGGAGATCTCTACCATTTCCAGTTGGGATGGGAAGGGGAAGGTGCCTTGAATGTTGGGAAAAGTCCCTGAAGCAGACAGGAGACGCTGGCACTGTGTGTCCCAGTTTTGTTCTCTTTCTGTAATTGCCAGTGATCTTAAAAGCTTTTATCACTGGCAGTATTAAAATTTACATATTAACAGTGACAAAGATTAATTGATGAATTCCCTAGAAAGGGTACTTAATTCTTTTTTTTGCAGAGTATTAAAAATGTTTTTTTGTTTGTTTGTTTTCACATGCCACAGGACTTTCTGCTTTTGCTTGCTGCATGACTAAAATGACCTTGGTTAGTACCTGGCTCCAGCCCAGGATAAAATAAATACATCTAATCCCGGATAAAGAGTAACTTCTTCAACCTGTGGCTTCTTCATTTTGAACTTTCTCTTTAATGTGTGGTTTCCCCATCAGTTTATGTCCACATCTACTGTCTGCACACAAGGATGAATATGATGAGTTCTGCCCGTAGGGAACGTGGTCTCATGGGGTGGACAGCTGTGAACACAGCTAGGGAGGCTGCAAGGCTGAATACCTCTGGGCTCTGGTAGAAGCACAAGCAAAGTGCTGAGGGCTAGGGAGGGCTTTCTGGAGGAAGGGAAGCCCCAGAGTCAGTCATGGTTTTAGGAAGATAACTATGGAGGTTGAGAGAAGGATGAATTGCAGAGGTGCCAACTAATTTGAACATTATGCAGAAGAAAGTGGAAGGGTAGGGACAGATATGAAGGGCAGTGTGGAGGGAGGGACTTCATAACTATATAACTAATTGGAGATGGGATAGGAGGAAGGGATCATAAATAACTCCATGATTTCTGTCCTGGTTGACTTGAAGGATAGTGATCAGAAAGAGGAAAATTGTGGTGGGGTGATGGATGATGTGTTTGATTTTAGTCCTGTTTCCTGAGATATTGGTGGGACATCCATAGGGGATGTCCAGTTGAAAGTTGGAAATTATTGTCTGGAGCCTCAGAGATAGGTCATCAGGATCTTACCTACTGACATTTCACTCCCTAGGAGACCGAGATTGACCAGTGCCGAGGCTGCACACTGGCGGCTTTTTGGCTCAGTTAATCTGACAGGTGTTTTTCCTTTGGCCTGTACAGTGTGCTGGTAGTGGTGGTGGTGTGTGTATCTGAATTGGTTGTTCATGTTTGAAACCCCAGAGTTTACATGGTAGTAGGTTGGTGTGGCAGTGCTGGATGGCTATTTCTCCACGACAGCCATCTGTTGGAGCTGAGGAGCACCTGCCCTCTTTGGATGAGGCATGAGATCTTCAGCTGGATACAGGTCTTAGCTGACCTCATCATTCATTTACCTTCCCTTTTTGGCCTCTGTGGGCAGTAGAATTTTGGCCCCATGGTTCCAGGGACTGAGAATAATAAAGAAGATGAATGAGTGTGTAAGGTGTCAGTTGGGGGAACAGGAGCTGCAGACAGTGACTGTGGAGATAGAAGTATTTGGAGAAGCCAAGCAGGAGTTGAATTCTGAGAAGCCAGGGATGATCCAAGAGTCAATCTTTGCAGGATTTGAGTTGGAATTGGGCAGGGAGATTCAGCAGTGAGAAGTTTTATTGACCTTTGAGAGAGCAGTGTCATTGGAATGCAAGGGCAGGCACAGGTTCAGAATGAGTAGGAAATAGAACCATGGAAGGTTAGGAGATTCTTCCAGAAGTTAGATAGGATGATTCCTTAAGAGCTGAGGTTGGGAATTTTTAAACGAACAAAACTTGAACTTGTTTGTAGGCTGAGGCGAAGGTGTAATGGAGAAGGAAAGAGTTGAAATAAAAAGGGTAGGGGAGGCTTCCCTGGTGGCGCAGTGGTTGAGAGTCCGCCTGCCGATGCAGGGGACACGGGTTCGTGCCCCGGTCTGGGAAGATCCCACGTGCCGCGGAGCGGCTGGGCCCGTGAGCCATGGCCGCTGAGCCTGCGCATCCGGAGCCTGTGCTCTGCAATGGGAGAGGCCGCAACAGTGAGAGGCCCGCGTACCGCAAAAAAAAAAGAAAAAAAGGGTAGGGGGATTTAATAAGGGTAGCTCTGCAGACATCCAACAAGGATGAGAGTTGAAAGCGGCAGCGATGGGATGTGCCGTATAAAGGGGTAGGGACATTTTTCCTTGGAGGCAAAAAGATAGGAAATGGGGAGAAATTTTGAGAAGAAAACTTCTAGGAGGTCTCCTTTGAATCTCGGTGATTTGATATTAGAGCCCCCAGTAGATATTTACTGGTGCCAACAGCTGGCCAATTGGTGTGCGAAGAGTCCATTCTTTTTTAGTACTGTCCTGAAAGGGTCAAGAAGTCTACTGTGTGTTGGGCACTGTTCTAGGTGTACTTACGTCTGTATCCATATTTATTTGATTTGTGAGGGGAGGTGGGTGTTCTTATCACTGTTTCAGACAGGGAACTGAAGAGCAGGTTGCTTCCCTTTTTCTATTTGGTGCGGCCTGATCATATTTCTACCTGTTGATTGACTGACTGGACTGTAAGGGTGACATCTTTGCCCTGAGCTTCTACTTGGGTCAGACTTCTGCCTTTCCTCTCTGAGCACAGCCCAGTTTCCGTTAAGCAAAACCTACAGACCACCCTCGCCCTGCTAGAACCAGTGTGTGGAGCCAGGGGAGGCTGTGGAACTTGTCCAGTCCAGCCCCTCTTTATACAGCAGGAAGCCAAGGCCTTGGGGAGGTAATGTCCAGGTCTCAGAGCTGGTAAGAGGCAGAGTGGGGCTTCAGCCCACAACTGCTTTTCCAGCCATTGTCACACTGAACCGAGTTGCCTGCCTTCCACGTCAGATGGAGAGTGACTTAGGAGACAGGACCACATCTGGAGTTACACTTGGGCTCCTGGCTGACCCTCAGAGTCAATTTGACCTCATCCTTTATGGCTCCAGGTGTAAGTAGGATGACCTGAAGGGATATTCTGTTCTCTTGCGCTTCTCTTCCCCAAGAGAGCTGGAGGCTGCCTAGTTCCAGGAGTCATGTGGGCAAGAGTGCCCTGCATTCTTGCAGCCCTCACGTTTTCCAGAATCTGGCTTGGCCTTCTCCCCAGCTGCCCTTAACACTAGGCTAGACTGATTCATCTTGGTTCTGGCAATCCCAAATGCATATTTTAAGTTTGTGGGTGTGTGTAGCTTTAATATTTAATTGAAATGAGCTCAGCTCATCTTTAATGAATTTTCCCAGTAACTGCTTCTGCCCCACCTCATCCATGCTGAACATGTTCCTAGGCTTCATAGGTCATTGCTACCTCTGGTTAATTTTCTGATATGAGAATATTTAGTTGGGGCGCATTCTCTGCTGTAAAGCCTTGCTGGAGTATCGTTCTATTGACCCTTAGCATGTTAGAGTTGGTAGCAACTCGGAGACAAGCAGGCTGAGCTCCTTACCTTAGAGACAAGGAAATTTAGACAGTTGAGATTTTCTTGTTTGAGGCCACGCAGCTAACTGGAGACAGAGCCTGGGCCAGGATCAGGGCTTTTCCCTGCAGCCTCTGCTTGGGCCGCTTGTGCCCTCAGCGCCTCCTGCTATAGAGTCAGCCCCCGCAGGGCCGAGAAACATCTCTTGTTCCATTGGGAACAAGCAAGGGATTGCTGTTCTTTCGCACGTTGCCATTGATTTGAATGTCACCTTATCCTCTATGAGCAATCCACAAATGAACAAGAAGGGGTTTTGATTGAGGAAGAGGTAACAGTTACACTTGGCACTGTCTTGTCATCAACTGTGGATGCTGTCGTTGCACTTTGGGGTTTGTGTTGCTTCTTGCAGTTTGAGGCTGTCCTTCCCCCGAGGCCCTCACTGCCTTGTAGAATCACCACCTTTAAATACCTTTGTGGTGGGTGTCAGCAGGATTCTTAGGTAGGACTCTTAGGTTGAATAGTTCATTTGATTTGCTTTAGCCTCGAGTGCCACCAGCTCTAAACATTAAACAGTCATGTTGGAAAAAGAATACTAAAACAGGTGATTTTCTTGCATAGTGTTTATACCTATTAAGACTGAGCACAGGTCTCTGTTTTCTGTATGAGCCCAGCAGTTTCTTGGTGCTTTTTGCCTGATGCACGTGATGCTCATGATGACTCATAAGGTAGGTGTATGATATTGTAAATGTGGAAAAGGGGCCCACAGGAGCCAGTGGCTCATAAAGTCACAGTCTATACTCAGGAGCAGAGCCGGCCCACACCCTCAGTTGTAAGCCAGCCTCTTTTCTCTTTACTAGACTGCTTCATCTACCTGGAGGCTAAGCCTTCCCCTGCTTCGCGGGCTCTTTCTTCTTTCCATCTCTCAAGGTTTAACTAAGCTTTTTTTTTTCTGAAATAATTCTACAGGTTGATGTTCTTAAGGCAACAGCGCTCCCTCTATTGAAACAGTTTGGGATTGATGGTGAATCGTTTGAGTTAAAGGTAAGAATGTACAATTGTTAGTGGTATATATCAATGTGAAAGATTTTCTTACCAACTCATTGGAAGAGCTATATGCCTCACGTGTGTGTGGCACATTTGCAGTCGCCATTTATTAGAAGACCCACAGGATTCGTGAACCAAACATTGCAGACTTTGAGCTGAAAGGGACCCTTTAGTAATGACAGGAGTGGCCACCAGTTATACTGCACTATCTTCGTGGTAGGCGATGTTGTAAGCATTCTACATGTATTAACTCCTTGGCTCATAACGACTCAGCTAATAAGTAGTAGAGCCAGGATTCTGACCATGCTGCCTCTCTGATCTAGATCATTTATCTTAATTTGTGTCTGGAGCCTCCCAGCGTGAATGTCCCTGAGAATTTTTAGTACGTTACTTTCAAAACTTAGTCGAAGTAATTTAAGCATCTGTTTGTTTGCTATTTAAGGGAATTACATCAATCCAATGTGATAACACTGGATATCTTAAGCTGTTTAGCATCTCTATTTTTTAAAATGATGTTTTTAAACAAGGAAAATGACTTCATTTTTATTTAGTAATGTAGAGTTTTGATAGATCAGTTAATTCCAGAGAAGGAGAAAAGGGTTCCTGATGGTTAAGAAGTGGGATAAGCTGATGAACTAGGCCAGTCCCTCATTTTAAGGTTGAACAAACAGGTTCTGGTGGTGAAGTGGCCTGTCTGGCTTTGACTGGGCCATGCAGGCTCTGTGTCCACTGCTCTTTCCGACATACCACACGGTGTCCTTGCTTAGCACATGCCCCCGTGGAGCTAACATCAGGTGCTGTTCATCTTGAAGGGATTGACAAGTTGTGTATGAAAGAGCTTGCTGCTTTCTAATGGTGGTTTTCATTCTTGGTGTAAACCAGCCAGGTTGGGTGTCATCCACTCTACTGAACCCTCACCTCTTCTTTCTCACTTGGTGCAGATTGTGCGACGGGGAATGCTCCCTGGAGGAGGAGGCGAAGTGTTTTTCTCATGTCCTGTAAGGAAGGTCCTGAAGCCCATTCAGCTCACAGATCCAGGAAAGATCAAACGTATCAGAGGAATGGCGTATCCTTTGCATTTGCTTCAGATTTCTTATTTTTTTCTTGCCTCCCTAAGATAAGAGTAACTCATAACAATTTACTTCTTCCCAGGGTTATTTACATTTTAGACAACAATCTTGGAAAAGTCTTAATAATTAATTTATAATTATTGGCTGAGATAGGATATTTTATTACCTGCCTCACCATAACTAGATTGACTGATTGATTCATTTATTTTTTCAGTTAACACTTAAGCAAACAGCTCTAGTGTATGTGACACTATCCTGAGGGCTTCGATTTGGGGGCCACCAATGCGTCGCAGTTCCTCCCTCAGAAGAGCTCATCGTCTGGTGAAGGAAACAAATATACAAACACATAATTCTGCTATAATGTGTAAAGTGATATAGATGATGTGCAGTGGGTTGGGGGAGCTAAGAGTAAAGAGTAGCAAATTTGTCTGGAAGATGTGGGAGGAATGAATAATAATGAATAACATCTGCCATTTATTAAGTGCTTACTCTTAAGCACTTAACAATGGACATGTAGGTTGCTTTCATGCCTTGGCTATTGTGAATAATGCTGAAAGGGTATAGAAATATGTGTATATTTCTTTGAGATCCTGATTTCAATTCCTTTAGATAATACATCCAGAAGTGGGATTGCTGGATCAAATGGTTAGTTCTATCTTTAATTTCTCAAGGAATCGCCATACTGTTTTCCATAGTGGCTACACTAACCTATATTCCCACTAACAGTATACAAGGATTCCCTTTTCTCACCAACACCTGTTATTTATTTATTTATTTTTTGATAATAGCCATCCTAATGGGGTGAGGTGATATCTCAGTATGGTTTTGATTTGTAGTTCCCTGGTGATTAGTGATTGTTGAGTACCTTTCCATGTTCCTGTTGGCCATTTGTATGTCTTTTTGGGAGAAATGTCTATTCAGATCTTTTGCCCATTTTTAAATTGGGTTGTTTGTTTATTTTGCTACTAAGTTGTATGAGTGTCTTATATTTGGGTATTAATCATATATATGAATTTCAGACATTTTCTCTCATTACATAGGTTGCCTTTTCACTTTGTTGTTTCTTTTGCCTGTGTTTTGGTATTCAAGAAATCATTGCCAAAGCTAAAAATCTTCCCCACTATGTTTTCTTCTAGTTTTACAGTTTCAAGTCTTATGTTTGTCTTTAGTCCATTTTGAGTCCATCTTTGTATGTGGTGTAAGATGAGTCCAGTTTCATTCTTTTGCATGTAGGTATCCAGTTTTCCCTACACTGTTTATTGAAGAGAATATCCTTTCCCCATTGTGTATTCTTGTCATCCTAGTTGAAGATCAGGTGACCAGATATGCGTAGGTTTATTTCTGGGCTCTGTTCTGTTCTATTTGTCTATATGTCTGTTTTTATGCCAATGACATGCTGTTTTGATTTTTGTAGCTTTGTAATATATTTTGAAATCAGAACCTGTGATGCCTCCAGCTTTATTCTTCTTGCTCAAAATTGCTTTGGCTATTTGGAGTCCTTTTTGGTTTCTTGTAAATTTTAGGATTGTTTTTTCTATTTTTATTAAAAAGAACATTGGGATTTTGATAGGGATTGCATTGAATCTGCAGATTGCTTTGGAAAATATGGACATTTTAACAATAATTCTTCCAACCCATGAACATGGACTGTCTTTCCATTTAAAAAGTCTTAAAATGTCTTTCATCAGTGTTTTATAGTTTTCAGTGTATAAGTCTTTAGCTTCCTTGGTGAAGTTTATTCCTAAGTGTTTAGATTCTTTTTTTTTTTTTTTTTAAGGGACACAGCACATTTATTTATTTATTTATTTATTTATTTTTGTTGCGATATGCGGGCTTCTCACTGTTGTGGCCTCTCCCGTTGCGGAGCACAGGCTCCGGACGCTCAGGCTCAGCGGCCATGGCTCACAGGCCCAGCCGCTCCGTGGCATATGGGATCTTCCCGGACCGGGGCACGAACCCGCGTCCCCTGCGTTGGCAGGCGGACTCTCAACCACTGCGCCACCAGGGAAGCCCTAGGTTCTTTTTAATGCTATTGTAAATAGGATTGTTTCCTTGATTGTCTTTGCAGGTAGTTTGTTGTTAGTGTGTAGAAATGCAACTGATTTTTGTATGTTGATTTTGTATCCTGCAACTTTATTGAATTCATTTATTAGTTCTAATAATTTTTCTTTTTTTTTTTTTGATCCATTCTTTAGGGTTTCTACATATAAGATAATGTCATCTGCAAACAGATAATTTTACTTTTTCCTTTCCAGTTCAGATGCCTTTTCTTTCTTTTTCTTGCCAAATTACTCTGGCTAGGACTTCTAGTACTATGTTGAGTAGGAGTGGCAAGAGTGGGAATCCTTGCTTTGTTCTAAATCTTATAGGAAAAACTTTCAGTTTTTCACCATTAAAGATGATGTTAGCTTTGGGCTTTTCATATATGGTCTTTATTGTGTTGAGGTAAGTTTCTTCCATGCTTAATTTGTTGAGAGTTTTTTTTTTTTTTTTTTTTTTTTGCGGTATGCAGGCCTCTCACTGCTGTGGCCTTTCCCGTTGCGGAGCACAGGCTCCAGACGCGCAGGCCCAGCACCATGGCTCACGCGCCCAGCTGCTCCGCGGCATGTGGGATCCTCCCGGACCGGGGCACGAACCCGCGTCCCCTGCATCGGCAGGTGGACCCTCAACCACTGCGCCACCAGGGAAGCCCCTGTTGAGAGTTTTTATCATGAAAGAATGTTAAATTTTGTCAAATGCTTTTTCTGCAACTATTGAGACAATGATGTAATTCTTATCCTTCATTCTGTTAATGTGGTGTATCACATTGATTGATTTGCATTTGTTGAACCATTCTTGCATCCCAGGGATAAGTGCCAGTCTATCATGTTGTATGATCCTTTTAATGTGCTGTTGAATTCAGTTTGATAATATTTGTTGAGGTTTTTTGCATCCATGTTCATCAGAGATGTTGGCCTATAGTTTTCTTTTCTTGTATTGTCTTTGTCTGGCTTTGGTGATGCTGGTTTTGCAAAATGAGTTTGGAAGTTTTTCCTGTTTGATTTTTTAGAAGTTGAAGGATTGATGTTAATTCTTCTTTAAATGTTTGGCAGAATTCACCAGTGGATTCATCTGCTGAAGCCATCTGGTTCTGGGCTTTTCTTTGTTGGGAAGTTTTTGATTACTGATTTAGTCTCCTTACATGTAATTGGTCTGTTCAGGCTCTGTGTTCTTGATTCAGACTTGATAGGTATTAGGTTTATTCATTTCTTCTAGGTTGTCCAATTTGTTGGCATGTAATCATTCATAATAGTCTCTTGTGATCTTTTTCAATTTCTGTGGCATCAGTTGTAATGTTTCCTTTCATTTCTGATTTTACTTATTTGAGTCTTCTCTTAGTCTAGCTAAAGATTTGTCAGTTTTGTTTATCTTTACAAAAAATCAGCTGTTTTGTTGATTTTTTTCCTATCATTTTTCTGTTTTATTTATATCTACTCTGATCTTCTGCTAACTTTGAATGTGGTTTCTTCTTTTTCTAGTGTAAAGTTAGGCTGTTTATTTGAGATCTTTCTTCTTTTGTAGAAAGAATGTAAGCACTTATCACTATAAAATTCCTTCTTAGTATTCCTTTTGTTGCATTCATAAATTTTGGTTTGTTCTGTTTTCATTTGTCTCAAGATATGTTCTAATTTCCCTTTTTGATTTCTTTGACCCAATATTTGTTCAGAAGCATGTTTCTAATTTTCATGTATTTGAATTTTCCCATTTTCTTGCTGTTATTGATATCTAGTTTCATTCCATTGTGGTTAGAAAAGATACTTGTGGTGATTTCACCCTTCTTAAGTTTATTGAGACTTTGTTCAATGACCTACCATGTGATCCTGGAGAATGTTCCACGTGTGCTTGAGAAGAATGTGTATTCTGCTACTGGTGGCTGGATGTTCTGTATATGTCTGTTGGTTCTCTTTGGTTTATAGTGTTCAAGTCTGCTGTTTCCTTACTGATTTTCTTTCTGGTTGTTCTATCCATTATTGAAAGTGGGGTACTGAAGTCTCTTATTATTATTGCATTGCTGTCTATTTCTCCATTCAGATTTGTGGATGTTTGCTTTATATATTTAGGTGGTCTGATGTTGAGTGCATGTATTTATATAACTGTTATATCTTCTGGTTCAATTGACCCTTTTACTGTTATATAATAACCTTTGTCTCTAGTGACTTTGAAGTCTTTTTTGGCTTAAAGTCTATTTTGTTTGATATAACTATAGTCACCCTTGCTCTTCTTTGGTTACCATTTGCATGGAATATCTTTTTCTGTGCCTTCACTTTCAGCCTATTTATGTCCTTATATCAAAAGTGAGTCTCTTGTGGACAGCATGTAGTTGGGTCTTGTTTTATCCATTCAGCCACTCTATGTCTTTTGATTGTGGAGTTTAATACATTTATATTTTATATACTTTATTCTTAAGCCTCAAAGTGAGTTTGAATTCTCTTACATCCTGTTTTGTAGATGGGGAAACTGAGGCTTCAAAAGGAATTTGCTCCCACGTCACATTGCTAGTAATGGTAGAGCTGGGATTTGAACCCTGTCCCTGTTAAAAGCCCAGGCTTTTAACCTCTGCTTTTTCCTATAGAGAGGACAGGGCATTTGGACTGAGCCTTGAAGAATAAAGGCTTGTAAAATGGGGCAAAGAAGGCGGAGTTCTTCAGGCAGAAATGTGGGCCTGTGTGGAGGGAGCAGTGCACATTGGTTCTGGGGAGTGGCAGGCAACGTGGTGTGACCTGAATGCAGGTCGGTCAAGGGTGTTTGGTAGTAGAAGATGGGACAAAAAGTTGGGGCAGGAGCCTGTAAAGGTGGGAGGCTGTGCCGAGGAGTCGACCTTCATTCAGAGTCAGTAATTTTCTTTTGGAGAGAGAATTTGCACATCAAGCAGATAACTCTGGTGGTACTGAAAGAACTTTTGGCTATTTTTGGCTCGTTGTAGAAATTTTGGTAGGTGCAAGTTAAAAAAAACAAA